CCCAGCGCCTTGGCTCCCTGTGAACGGGGACGGTCTTCTGCGGGCTTCCAAGCAGGTAGACTTACAGGGATGGAGATGGAAGTGGCCCTGGAGTTGTGGGAGCAGCAGGGATGGAGCAGGTGGAAAGGGGTTACATCCAGGCTGTGGGGTCCCATTCGTCTCCTACTTATTTATTTATTTTCCGACGGTTCCTGGGAGGGGGTGGCCACAGGGGCTGGGAGGAAGGGGTGGGAGGGCGGAGAGAGGGAGGGGCGGCGGTCTCGAAGCCGCCGGCTCAGGAGAGCCAGCGGGGATCGGAGGGCCAACGGGAGGTTCTGCTGGGCCCCGCCAGCGCTGAGGGTAGGAGACCTCACCAAGGCTGGAGTCGCCATGCAGCGTAAGGCCCGGGTCGCCAGGGCTTCGCGGGAGCACTAGGGGCTCGGCGGGAGCGGCTTTTGCCCAACGCGGGCTCCGGGGGTAGCGCGGCCAAGGCGCTGTCCGGGCCGCGGTGCTGAATTCGCGCTGCGCGGACCGTGCAGCCACCAACTCTAAGCCGGGTGTCCCCGACGCCCTGCCGTCGTTGCCCACGATGCGGGTCCAGGGCACTCGGCGAATCCCCAGACTCCGCACCCGGGGCCGAGGTTTTGCCCCATGCGGGATCCCTTCCTTCCCGTGTTTCCCGGGGCTTCGGGAGGGCGGCCGGTCCAGTTTCTCTCGGCCTCGGGCTGAAGGAGGTCCCTCTCCCACCCTTCCACCCATTGTCAGGCTGGCCTGGGGCCAGAGGGGTTCGCTGCCAGCGAGGTGAGCACGGTGAGGTGGTGCGATATTTGTGTAGGTTCCAGCTCCTTCTCATGGCTCACTTCTCTCCAGAGTTACCTTTTCTAAATTAACAAGGAGTTCTCACTCCATGAGTATCCTGTAAAGCCCCTCATGGACCTGTGTCTCCTGAAGGCAACCGTTGTATTTCCCCAGCCTGGTTTCTTTCCCCGGAGTCCTGCAGTCCCAGGGAGCAGAACCAGTGGGAACCCAAGTGTCTCTGTGGGGAGGGCAAAGTGCCTACTGTGTGTCCGGGCATCCATGTTTGAGCACGAGGACAGAGGGTCTATGTGTCCAGTCCATTCGCAAGTACTCTCACAGCCGTCCAAACTCAGGGAGGGCATCAGTTTTTACTTTGGTGGCCTGCAGACAGGGCCATGGGGCTGGGCAGCCACACCTACAAGGAGTCTCTAGCCGCCATGATGCTTAATTGTGCAAGTAATGAGAGCAATTGGATGGTGGATGCCCCACAACCCGCATGTGCCTGGCCTCCGGTGATGGAAAGGGGCTGTCGTCCACCCCAGCCTCTGAGAGAGCCCCTGGGGGGAAGCGGCTCATTTGAGCTCAACATGCACACTTCGTGCACTGGAAACATGTTGCAATTGATGGTATCTGGCTTAATGGGGTGGCCTGGGCACCTTCCTGCTCAGGGCCATTTTTCTAAACCTATTTCAGTTGTCCTGAATTTTAGCTGCAGGCCAGGCCGTGGACTTCTGTACCATGCACTTTCCGAACTTGAGGACCTAGGCAGTCAGTGGCTCAAGTCCGCTGGAAAGAGGGTGTGCAGGGAAGGGGGTCTCCTGGGCAGCCCTGGTCCTTGGAGCTGGGGTGGGAAGGTGAATTCGAGGCCTCTTGCTCTGTGCGGTTCCCATGACCACGGTGGCTCCTCCGCCTGCAGAGATCCCGCTGTGTGCCGGCTGTGACCAGCACATCCTGGACCGCTTCATCCTCAAGGCTCTGGACCGCCACTGGCACAGCAAGTGCCTCAAGTGCTCCGACTGCCACACGCCGCTGGCCGAGCGCTGCTTCAGCCGCGGAGAGAGCGTTTACTGCAAGGACGACTTCTTCAAGTGAGCTGGGCAGCCCAGCCGCCTGGGAGGGAAGGGCCCGCCAGGTGCAAGGGAAGCAGAGAATGGGCTCTCCTGAGGGACTCCCTAGACCCCCACAGTAACCCACTCTGGAGCCCTGAAAGCCCCATCTCCTGGTCCCCTCCTGTCCTCCAGGCAGGGTACCCTGGAGGCTCTCTGCTGGCAGCTGGGTTGGCACATTAACCATTTTTTAAGTAATTAATTTTGTGAATTATTGAAGCAGTCGTTAAGAAGATAACCCCAAATTTGTAGAACTCTATTGGACTTACTCCCTCTTCATTTTGGTCTTGTTTTTGTCCTTAATGCTGGAGACAAGGTGCCTCCCCCGGATAGGCTTCTGGGGTCTGAGGGACCTGTACCATGGTCTGGCCGTACCCCTCTGGATTCAGCTTCCCGATCCAGCACAGAGGCCGGCTGTACTCCCCAGGGCCTCCGGATCCCCTTCTCAGTAGTCCGTGTGGCTCTGCTGCGGCTGCCCGGCAGGCGACCAGGGGCAGGGCCTGGCAAGCCT